TTTCTTTCCATTCAATAATCTTTATTGTATAGTCTAATAACTCTTATTATATAATTTAATATAATTTAAATAATAAAATATAATATTTTTAAATATTAATTAATATAAAAATAATATAATAATTACATTCAAACTTATGCAAAAAATTTTAGCATAACCCATTATTTTTAACTAATGGTTATGGGCCCTCCCTAACAAATTGCTTCCAAGCAACATTTAGAAAAACAAAAACATAAAATAAAAAAGGAAAGAAAAGAAAAGAAAAACAAACGTCCTGATCATCCGTCCGCCACCTCCTCTACTCCTTCCCTTCACCAACACTTTTCCTCTTCAAACCGCCTAGTCCAACCCCCATTCTTCTTCTTCTTCCCCATCTCTTTCTCTCTCTAAATTCCACTCCTTCTCTCTAGGGTTTTTCAGAAATCTTCACCTTGTGGATGAAAACGGAGTGAAGAGAAGAACCGGGAAATCGGAAGAAGATGGGTTCTTCACGGAGGCAGTTGAAGGCAATGCTTCGCAAGAATTGGCTCCTCAAAGTCAGACACCCTTTCGTCACCGCTGCTGAGGTCCCTGCTCATCGATTCTACTTTCTTTCTGATTTCTTCTCTTTTGGGTTTTCAATTCTTACCTTTTTTTCTTATTTATTTGGTACTGATCTTGTTCCTTTTTTCTTTCTATTTTTGCAGATTTTGCTCCCGACAATTGTGATGTTGTTGTTAATTGCTGTCAGAACTCGAGTTGATACCAAAATTCACCCTGCTCAACCGTAAGTCAATTACCCACTATTTCTTTCTCTTTTTCGATTTTTTTTCCTATATTACTTTCTTTTTGTTTCTTTCTTCTGTTTGGTTGTCGGGAAACTGAGACATAAGAGTTACTTAGTTTCCTTTTTGGACCAAAAGACTTCGTCTTCCAATGTTTTCTTACTTATTTTATGGTCTTGCTTTTGGTCCTGAAGAATTTCTGTGGTACCGCTATTACCTTTCTTTTAGTTACTAAAACTTAGATCATTCTACTGGTCTAGGAACATACGGAAAGAAATGTTTGTGGAGGTGGGGAACGGTATATCCCCTAATTTCCAACAAGTTTTGGAGTTATTGTTGTCCGAGAGACAGTATTTAGCTTTTGCACCAGATACTGAGGAAACAAAGAAGATGATTAACATAATGTCTGTAAAATTTCCACTGTTGAAGGTATCAATTGACCATCCGCTGTCATCTCTTTCAATATTTGCATAATGGTCATGATTCTTATTTGAAGTTATATTTCTCATCTTTATGCATTATTATAATTATATTATTGATGCATCAAATTTGATAAATACCCTTAATGTGGATATTGATTAAACTGATAAATTTTTTGTCATATTGAATTCTTACACAGTTACACTACTATTAGAGCATTAGTTGGCAGTTAGCAGCTATGACCCCTATAGTTGAACTTCCCCTTGTGGGACTGGATTTTCATGACTCAGAAATAATTCAACTTGCTTTCATGCTTGTAGCTGGTTACTAGAATTTACAAAGATGAGCTTGAGCTGGAAACGTATATCCGGTCAGAGAATTATGGCAAATGTGGTCCTTTCAAGTAAGTCATACTCTTTTTACAATGATAGTGATGTTGAAGACAGTGCTGAAGTCTTTTTTGTTCATTTTGATGATATCTAGTTCCTGATTTAATTTTCCATGCATTTTGAAGTTCCTTCTGAGATTAGCTAATTTGTTTGCAATGCTAAATTTAGTTTAAAAGTTGAAGTATAAATGCATTTTAGGTATAGTTAAACTTTTATGAACTTTTTAGTGGTCAGTATAAATGCATTTCAGGTATAGTTGAGTGTTAGTCTTGTTTCAATTCCATGTGATTTAGCTTCAACTTGTAAAAATTTAATCAAATGAAGAAAAAGGAGAAGAAAGAAAACCATCTGGATGGTGGTTCTACACTTCAGTATGCCATTGATTTCCTTTTATACCATTCACTTCTCTTTTATTTTTATTTTTGAAGAAAACTTTTTTCTACATCATCTGCATGCACCATATTTTTTCTATGGTCTAATTATCTTTATATGGTGTCAGAAATCTTTTTTTATTTTATTTTATTTTATTTTTAAAGAAGTCCTTATATTGGTATTAGGCAACTGTATTCATGAAGTTAATTATCATTTCTTTTGTTTGACCTTCTATTAGGGACTGCCCAAATCCAAAAATTAAAGGAGCAGTAGTTTTTCATCATCAAGGTCCTCATGTGTTTGATTATAGCATTCGCCTTAACCATACATGGGCTTTCTCAGGATTTCCTGATGTCGAAAGTATCATGGATACTAACGGCCCTTTTGTCAATGACTTGGCATTGGGTCTTAGTCACGTACCAACAATGCAGTACAGCTTAAGTGGGTTTTTAACTGTAAGTTCTGATAGTTTTCCCTCCATTGCATTCTTTTTTTAAAACTTATTTTGTGTTTCTTTAAGGTTCGTTACTTGATGCTGTTGGAATTCTTCTTTTCATGTGTTTGCTATTCGTTTCCTTTTTTTCCTAAAGGGCTCTTGTTTCCTTTATGCTACTGGCGTTGACAATGTTAAATGTATTGTTCTTGCCTGGTTGTAGGAGCTAGTAACTGTTAAATTACTTCCTCAGTAGCACTTGAACTAGCATAATTTGGATAACTGCAATACAGCGCTTATCTAATAAATATGAATGTTGCAATCTTTTTTTCTGGTCTGGGTAGAGATTTTGCATGTAAAATCGTGTCAAATTCTTAACTCTTCATTTTTTTAAACATTGTTCTTGATTTATTGGTTGCCTTAGTGTGTTTTCTTCTGTTTTCTTTTTCTAAACTTTCTTCACTCTTAATGAAATTTCATCTATTTTACTTTTCAATCTGTTGTAGTTAAGCTGTCTAATCTGTTTCTATTACTTTTATATGTACTGCAGCTGCAGCAGGTCTTAGATTCTTTTGTAATATTTGCTGCACAACAAAAAGAAGCTGATGTTGGCAGTGAAGATAAAGAACTTCAATCATTGCACTCATATAATGCAACAGCATCACTTAAGTTACCTTGGACACAGTTTAGCCCTTCGAAGATAAGGATGGTTCCTTTCCCAACTCGAGAGTACACCGATGATGAGTTCCAATCCATCATTAAGAAAGTGATGGGAGTGTTGTATGTATCTCATGAATGTTTCTGCATTTGGCTTTCCAGATTAAGATAAAGAGTGTTTTTTGGTGTCTATACTCTATACGTTGACTAGCTATTTTGATTTCCCTGCATCTGTAATGGACAGGTATCTGTTGGGATTTCTTTATCCAATCTCTCGCCTAGTCAGCTATACTGTGTTTGAGAAGGTTTTGAATTACTCTCTTATTCATGCTTTCCATAGATCTGATGGCATACCTATCCTACTCTGTCAATTTTGCTTGAGTTTTATTCCTTGTTTTGGCAGTTTTTGAAATAGAGGAATCATACCCTTCTTTTAAAATTTTATCTCAAATCAATTTTCCTTGCTGAATTTTCAGGAGCAGAAGATCAGAGAAGGCCTTTACATGATGGGATTGGATGATGGGATTTTCCTTCTTTCATGGTTCATTACATATACTTTCCAGGTTGCTTTTCAGTCCTGGTTTCTTGACTCTTTCTCCCCTTGTTTCCATGTTTTTATTGAAAGTCATGTTTTTGCCCAGTTGCATTTTTGAAAGGATTTAACTGTTTGCTTTACTTCTACTTGTAAGGTAGTTCATGATTCAATCTTCTTGTTCTTGTTCTTCTTTTTATAATAAATTTTACTTTTATTTTTTTCATCAGCACAAGGAAGTTTTATTTTACAGACTGGAGTTTTATCTCCTCAATAATCCTCATTATACTTATTAAACCCCTAACGTTGATTCTAGGTCTCTGTTACAGCCTCCCAATTAGAAGGCTGGGTGGTTTCTTGTAAGATAATAGGTTTTTTAAAAGTCTGGGAGGTTTCATTTTTGAATTTCTTATGGAAACATTTCATTAAGCCTGGCAGGCAGTTAATTTCTGAAGTGAGGGTAGCATTGGTAGGGTTGCTGTGTCTCATCAGAGACAAGAAAATGTTTGTCATAAATAGCTGCAGTGGTATTCATATTACAGAGCCGATTGCATTCTTATGATATGGATTATAGAAGTGCTGCTGATGCTGTTGGGGTGAGTTATGAGGTGGAGGAGATGGAGGTTTCATTGTTGCAGGTCTTGTATGTGCAAAGATTTTAAATGGCTGACTTAAATTGGGGATGAGATTGTTTTGGGGGGTAGGGAAAGGGGAAGAGTGGAGATTTTTGCTATATGTTTCTGCCTTTCTTGTCAAATTGATTTGATTTAGGAATGTTTCTGAGTTGCCAATCTTGGAACTTTTTTCTTCTTTTGGTAGTTTCCAATCTTTAACATATGTATGGAGAATTGTGAAAATTGGGTAATCTTTCGGTATTTATTGTTGCATTCTTACTTTTCTTGGTCTTCATTTTGTTTTTGTTATAATTTCATCTCATCTGCAGTTTGCAATTTCTTCTGGGATCATTACAATTTGTACCATGGATAACCTTTTCAAGTATAGTGATAAGACAGTGGTGTTCATGTATTTCCTTGCGTTTGGACTCAGTGCAATCTTTCTATCCTTTTTGATCTCCACATTTTTCTCAAGAGCAAAAACAGCTGTTGCGGTTGGAACTCTTTCGTTTCTTGGGGCTTTCTTTCCATACTACACTGTCAATGATGAGGCTGTCCCAATGTAAGTATTTATAATATCTGCAATCTTTTTCTCACCATGGCTGGATATGTTGGTTGCAATTTCTAGCATCCTGGATGAAGATTTAATTCATTTAACATTTCTACAACAGGTTTTTGAAGGTCATTGCTTCTTTGCTTTCTCCAACAGCTTTTGCCCTTGGGTCAATTAATTTTGCTGACTATGAGCGTGCTCACGTTGGGCTTCGTTGGAGCAACATATGGCGTGTATGTTTTTTATAGAGGAATTTGTCTGCTATTAACTATCTCTTTGGACCCCTTGTTTTATTGTTTCTAAATTATCTTAGACACTGACTCATGCAGGCGTCATCTGGAGTGAACTTTTTGGTCTGCCTGTTGATGATGTTTTTCGACTCTCTGCTATATTGTGCAGTTGGTCTGTACCTGGATAAGGTATGATTTTAATGTCTTAACTTTTTTTTCTTCTCTTCTTTTAAGGTGCTGAAAAATTTTCAATTCATTGTTACCATGCTCCATTGTTGTAATGGTGAAGGTGGACATTAGTATGTCGCATAAAATAGAGAGAAGTTGAGAATTCCTATCGTAAATGATGGATCTAGGATAGTTTTTTCAAATAATTGCTTGTGGAGATGCATTGTATATGCCATTGACAATCAGTTGATATCACTCAAGATTTTTCTTTAGTAACTTTCAGAAAAATTTATTTTATTTTAGTTATATTTCTGACCTATGGTATCTAACAGATATTAGTGTACTATAGGGCATAGGCACTCTCATAATTGGCTGTCATTGACATTTACCTTCCACTGCCGCTTGTCAGATTTTAATGGGTTAGCTATGGTTGTCTTTTCTTAGTGTCTTGTACCTGATAAAATATGTTTTAATGTGTCTATTTGATCAGGTCCTTCCCAGGGAAAATGGGGTGCGTTATCCTTGGAACTTCATTTTTCAGAAGTGCTTCTGGAGAAAGAAAACTACTATAAAACCTCAAATGTCAAGTTATGAGATTAAAATTAATGATAAGCTATTGAAAAAGAAGACTATTTTTCCTAAAAATGATACTTCTGAACCTGCTCTCGAAGCAATAAGCTTGGATATGAAGCAACTAGAGCTTGATGGCAGGTACATGTACTAAAACTGATATGTTTATGTCCTTTGTATGCTTAATTGGTCTTGCCACTCAGTTTTATGGTAGATGTACAGATGCCTCCAAATAAGGAATCTGCACAAGGTTTTTGCTACTAAGAAAGGAAGGTGTTGTGCTGTTAACTCTTTACAGCTCACCTTGTATGAAAACCAGATTCTTGCGCTTTTAGGTAAGTGTGTCTGATTTACTTTCGTCAACTTCATATCTTTTACTGTTAGTTTTCGAGCATCATCTTTTGTAAGAGAACAGTATTAATGTATTTTGCATTTCAATTTTTGTTGAAACTGCAACTTTATCTGTGTAACCATGTGAAAAAAAAAAAACCTATGCTAAAATAGTTTAAGATTCCAGAGCTTTATCACCTTATGGTTTGATTTCTTAAAATCAAACATAAACTTTTTAAAGGTATTTGAAGAATTATTATTCTGATCAGCCTGCAGCAATTAAGGGATGCTTGTTGACTGGCTCTGTTTTGTCTTTCCATAATCTGTCACATTTCTTAATCTATGTTAGTTGTTGCAATTGTCTCCATTTTAAATACCTTTGACACCTTATTTACAAGTGAATTGATTTTTAATTTTCAGGTGTGCATAATTTTCTATACTAATTCTGATAGTTGCTCTTCTATTTTAACATTTTGCTGTTTGGCAAAGCTTTTGCTAATAATCTCTTTTTACTAAATGTCTTATTTGATTTTTCATATAACTTGTTGAATAACAAGTTGCTATTTAGCAATTAAAGTGCTAATTATCAAAAGCTTTGCCAAACAGCCTCTAGTGTTAATAGGGAAGCATGCCCGTATGTGTGTGTGTGTGTGTGTGTGTGTATGTATACCCTACCCCCGAAGCATTGCAAATCTTACATAAAGTATTTGGATTCAAAAATTGGACCTTTAAATTTATGTAGCTGTCATAAGAAACTTTAAGTTTAGAGGTTTAAGTATTTCCTGTTGGGTTTTCTATGGCAAGTTGCACAAATTTTTTAGTACAATATCATGATTAGGACTTGAGTAATTTGTACGTTGACTTTGATAATTTCATAAGCATATTTTCTCTGATATGTTGTCAACCTGCTGTGGTAACTTCATAGGCATAGCCCTTTTCATCTAGGAGTTGAAATTGCTTTTTGAGTTTTCAACTTCATCTTTGTTTTTCAATATATATATATATATATATTGGCTTCACATTTGTACCTAGAATTGTTGCAGTAGATGAGTAGATTATAAAGCAGATTGTAAAATTTTCATTTTCATCTTATTTTCTGTTTTTTGTTTGTGAGTTAGGCAAGTAAACTTTTATTAACTCTACTCAGCCTCCTATGAACTCTAACAAATTTCCAGGAAAAAATCAGTTATGCTTGGACATTTTTGTGAGACACATTTGATCCTTTGCAGCCTGTGTTGAGCCATGAAAATTTTTTGCTTCTTTAATTAGATAGATTACTTGTTTTTTGTTGTTATCTTGAAGGACACAATGGTGCTGGTAAAAGCACAACCATATCGATGCTTGTTGGCCTTCTTCCTCCAACTTCAGGGGATGCTCAAGTATTTGGGAAGAGTATTCTAACGGGCATGGTAAAATTCTGTTTTTCCTTAGTAACCCCCTGCCCCCTCTCCTCTTTTCTGTTAATTTGTTTGTAAATTATCTATACTCAAAAGCAAAGCCTTTCGGTTAAATAGTTCAAAGTGCTTTTGTCACTGCTTTCTCCTTTCCTAGAAAATTCTGTTTTAAGTGCTCATTCAAATTTAATTTAGTTTGGTATCATTGTTTCTGTCAGGTTGCTTGTATAGTGATTGGATCTCTCCAGTTGTAGACATATCACATATTTTAGAAAAAGCTTAGTCTAAAATCACCTTTGGTTCATATCTGACTCTTAAGTACTTAAAAAGACTAGTCAATGTTTTTGTGTGAATGTTCTCATCAGCCTAATAAATAGAATTGAATTGTCCAAAAATTGTGGACAGAAATACCAATTTGGTCCTGTTATCAGTTGCATGTGCATTTTAGGATGTTTATGGGGTTCCAAATGGTTATTAGGCTGGTTATCAAGTGTTACTTCCAGATTAAGTTTATTCTGTTTCTATGATTTCTGACCAATGTGAATATGTCCTGCAGGATGAGATAAGGAAGGGATTAGGTGTGTGTCCCCAACATGATATTCTTTTTCCAGAATTGACTGTAAGTAAGATGGATCTATGAATATTATTATTTATCACCTTCACATCTGATTAATATTTAATTACTATTGCTCCTTTTGCATTCTAATTAATAATGTCAGAAAGTTAATTCTATACTCATATTTGAATGGTATTGGAAGGTCAGCTTTGGATCACAATATCTGTATAATAGTCCAGTAAGTAAATAAGCTTCTGATTGTTGGAGGATATTGTGGTGGACACATCCTTGATTTATATTTTGTATTGCATGTCATCATCTAACATGTTCTTTTCTCATGTTCTGGAGAAAGAGAAAAGAAAAGAAAAATTCTTGTCTTCTTGATTCTATGGGTTCTATACAGATTTCATTTCCAACTTCCCTTCAAGTTCCTTGGTTATCTCTGTGCTTTCAAGAAGATGGATTAGGTCCATAATGAAATACCAACTTTCAGCTGCTTGGCCAAGGATAGAATCCTTGAATAAAACTAACAATAAAACTAACATCTATTGTCTAAATAGTCACCTGCAATAATCTGCATTGTATGTAAATGACTTCATTGTTGATGAACTGATGAAGAACCTTTTGGATCTGAAATGGGATAATACTTCATAAGCGGGTTGTTCAGACACATTACTAGTTAAGACTTAACATGTCTCAATGAAATTTCTTGAGTGAAAATACTCATGTCTTTTATGTGTTGTTTTATTGTATATATTATTTTGATTTAGGTTTATCTTGAATCAGCAGCTTGTGCATGCACATGGTTTCAATAGAAATTAACTTTAATAACCTTGGGAAATAAATCTTGATTGGTAATTTAGTTGAAGATTTACAAGTCATGGCCGTCAGCCCCACCTTAACTCTTATTATCTTTTGTGAGATTTCACTAGAATGATTGCATATCATACTTAAAAAATTTATGTTAAATATGTTTAAACTTAAAAGGCATGAATGAATATGCGGTCAATGTCCTTTCTTTCTTTCCTGTGCTTTTATGGAGTTCTGTGAAGTCATTGACCAGAAATTTTTATCTTTGTTTCTTTTTGGAGCATAGAAGGCAGGCTATGTGATCAAACTACTGACAGTTCTACATTTGGCACAACTTCACAAAAAATTAAAAGGGGTTCCTGTTGTCTAGGAAAATAGTTCTTCTTTTTATTAACACCTATCTGGGCCAAAGAAGTTTTTGTTCATTAGTGTGTGGGGTGGGGTGTATTAGTACTGTCACCAATTTTTGTTGTGTAATACTTAATTATATATTTTTGTCCATTCTTTTGTTATCATGTTAATTCAGAGTTGCACATTTTGACTCAGTTGATTTCATTTTCCAGGTGAGAGAGCATTTGGAAATGTTTGCTATATTGAAGGGTGTGGACGAAGATATATTAGAGCGTTCTGTAATTGAGATGGTAGATGAAGTAAGTTCTTTTCTGCCTTGCTGGTGTTGAGTGTATATATATTTTCCCTTGCAGGAAATTACTTAACCTATAAAAATTTTTCAACCAACTGAAGTAAAGCAAAAATGCTTGGCCTAGATTATGGGGGAAAAAAGTACACTTTCTCCAAATCTGATACTGAAATTTGTGCAACTGTCTGAAAATCTTTTTCTTTTAAATACTAAATAGACAACTCATATCATTTAGATAATAAATGCATCTGAAAGATAAATGAACTAAATGTATCACTTCAATTTGAGTCTTCAAAAGAAAATTCTGATATCCTTCTTTGTGTCAAGCATCTTTGATAAATAAATAGAGCATCTTTATGTAATAAAAATGTTGATGAAACTTGTGTGTATGTTTTAAAATATTAAAGAAACTTGTATATGTTAAAGAAGAAAAATCTAATTTGCTTCTCTTTCTCAATCTTCCAGTTGACAGAAACTTCTGGTTTTTTAGCTCTGTTTTAAATATCTTCTCCAGGATAGTTACTTTTTTAATGGCTATTTTTATGGTCAGGTTGGTTTGGCTGATAAGCTAAACACTGTTGTGAGGTCTCTTTCTGGTGGCATGAAGAGGAAATTATCTCTCGGCATTGCATTGATAGGAAATAGCAAGGTGGTTAATAAAGTTCCAAGACATGTTTCTTTTATTCAGGAATTTGTATGAGGTGCTTCTTATGCCTTTTCTGGTTACAGGTTATAATTCTTGATGAACCTACTAGTGGAATGGATCCATATTCAATGCGTTTGACCTGGCAGTTGATAAAAAAAATTAAAAAAGGCAAGATAATATTACTGACAACACACTCAATGGATGAAGCTGATGAACTGGGAGATCGAATAGCTATTATGGCTAATGGTTCTTTGAAATGCTGTGGAAGGTTAATGCTTGTTAAATTACCATTTTCATCTTCTTCCTAATGGCTCTATCCTTTGGAAAGGCTTCTCAAATGAAATGAAGACATACTTTATCTCTGGTTGCTGTTTTTAGGTGTATTTATAGTGTGCCCATGTTTTCTAATTTCCTAGTGTTTGCTTAAATTATAAAATTTAATTTTTTCAGGCAGGAGATTTTTTAGTTGAATCATGGCCTTAAAAATTAGACATAATTCTTTGGAGAAATATTTTAGCTGTTTTCATAATCTGGTGTGTGCTTATTTTTCAACAGTTCCCTTTTCTTGAAGCATCATTATGGGGTTGGTTATACTCTTACTTTAGTGAAGGTTTGCTTTTCTTTCTGCTTATTTTCTTTTCAAACTTATCGAATGACTTTTTTTTTCCCCATAATTCAACGAGCATTGATATGTTTTTTGGGATGTATTCACTTTTCTTCCAGTCTGCACCATCTGCTTCTGTAGCTGCTGATATTGTTTATCGTCACATTCCATTGGCAACATGTGTGAGTGAGGTAATCTCAATTTATTTTTAGATAGATTTCCATTAAGTCAATTAAACATATGTTGCATAGTATTCATCCTTCGCTCTGCAGCTTCAGTAAAATGATATGGTATCAGCATTGGAACATGTGCAAATATTTATCTTAATATGTTGGAAAAACTTTTAAATTAGTTCTTGAACTTGTCCACTATCAGCAAATATGTCCCTAAATATTTTTATGGAAAATTGGCTCCTGAACTTCCCATCCAGTTTGGTGGATTTGCATGAATTAAAATTGTCAGGGTCCAATTTTCTGCCAAAATAACTGTAAGGTCTTATTGGTTGGTTTTTTCTAAAATGCGAGGGGTGGTTCGGGATTTAGTAGATATCAGTCTTACTATTGATCTTTTACGTATTTGTTATCGAATACATATGGATGTACTGATGTACATGATTTGTTTATTGAAACACACACACACGCACCCCAAAGGGATATGCACACACAGACGTACTGGGTGTGGATCACTGTAAGATACAAAATGTGAACCTGAACATGGCCTGCCATGTGTCCCAGAAAGCAGTTTAATGAGATGGCTTATAGTTTCTATTTTTTATGGGTTTGTCTAACTTGTGCCTAGGTTAAGGGTGCAATAATTGTACTTTTTTTATAATTAATTTACATAAAAAATTGTAAAAGTTGACATTTATTTAACACCATTGACATGTGAATGATTTTAATTGGTTAATTGATTAATTGATTAATTGATTAATTCAAAATCAACACGTATCTTTTTCATGCAAATTAATTGTAAAAGAGTGTATTAATTTCACCCCTTAACCTGTGCTCTAAGGCAGAAGTTAGGAAAACCCATTTTTCATTGGTGCCTCTACCTTCTGTTTTTTGGTAACTGGTTAGAGACTAAGAATATCAAATGGAATGATGTAGGCTTATTGGGGATATCCATGCAACTATAGCCTCTTATTGCATTGAAAACTTAATAACTTGGTTAAAGTACCATTTGGTCCCCCAACTTTCAGCTTTTGCACCAAATTTGCCCCTTAACTTTTTTTGGCACTTTTTTGGTCCCTCAGCTCAACTCTCTAATTTGGTATCAAATCTCTGTTTATGTTAATGCACAGCATCATCAAATGGTTAACAGAGGGACCATTTTAGTACCAAATTCAAAAGTTGAGGAAGAAGAAAGGTAATTTAACCTAATAACTTCAAAGATGGTAGAAATGTGGCTCTAGATGTGAAGAAACAGAAGCAACTTTCAAGATACCATGATTAATGTATGAAATGGCTTTCCCTATGCTTCATATCCATGATCCAGTATTTAATTTGATTCATCTATCCATATGAAATATTATGATTGTCTATTTTCTTTCAGGTTGGAACTGAAATTTCTTTCAAGCTACCTCTGGCATCATCATCAGCCTTTCAGAATATGTTTTTGGAAATTGAAAGTTGCATGAGAAGATCAGTTTCTAACTCAAAAACTACTTGTACTGAGGATGAGAATTATATTGGCATTGAAAGTTATGGGATATCTGTGACAACTCTGGAGGAGGTATTCTTAAGAGTTGCTGGATCTGATTTGGATGAACGTGAATGTGTTAAGATGGCAAATAATCATGTTTCATCTACCTCTATGCTTTCTCACGCTTCTCATGAACAAGTTGCCAAAGGAGTTCCCCACTCTAAATTGCTTGGAAGTTATAGGAAGGTTACTGGGGGCATATGCTGGATGGTCGGAAGAGTTTGTAGTTTATTTGTTGCTACAGTACTAAGTTTGATGCGCTTTTTAAGCAAGCTGTGTGGCAGCTGTTGTATCATTTCTAGGTCAATGTTTTGGCGACATTCTAAAGCTCTATTAATAAAGAGAGCTTTATCTGCAAGAAGAGACCAGAAAACTATTGTATTCCAGCTTCTTATTCCTGCTGTCTTCTTGTTTATTGGTCTTCTTTTTCTCGCACTAAAGCCACATCCTGATCAGCAGTCTGTGACCTTCACCACCTCAGAATTTAATCCTCTTTTAAGTGGTGGAGGAGGCGGAGGTCCAATTCCTTTTGATCTATCCTGGCCCATTGCAAAAGAGGTCTGTAATGTCTGTTATTGTTGACCATTTTTTACTTTTAGTTGGTTTGTTCTATCTTCTTATCTTATTGCCATGACTGGACTTGCAAATATCTTTAGAGGTCATAAAATTTTTCGCTTTCTTTATACCATGAAACGTAAATTTTCTTCTCTTAAAACCTTTCTCTCCAGGTGGCAAATTATGTTAAAGGAGGGTGGATCCAAAGCTTTAGACAAAGTACTTATAGATTTCCTGATTCTGAGAGGGCTTTAGCTGATGCAGTTGAGGTAGCAGGGCCAACACTAGGACCAGTTTTACTTTCAATGTGTCAATTTTTGATGTCTAGCTTTAATGAATCATACCAGTCAAGGTAAGTTCACCGCATCACTGATTTGTTCACTTGTGTTGTGATTTATACTCTCTTGTTAAATGTTAAATGGCCTAAAAATGTCTCATTTTTGCATCATGTCCTTGAATAAGAGCATTTATTTATTTTTGGTATTTGAAACTTGTCTTTTCTAATGGAGTACTTTCTTGTAAACTAAGCTGGCCTGCCTCTGTAATCTGGTGTCATTCTACAGAAAAGGTTTTTGAACTTACCAGTGGGTAGATGTGCTGAACCTTTTCATTATTTTAGTTCCTTTTATATAGCATAACTGAGCTCATGTCATGCATTTGATGGTTTTTAAATTCAGACATAACGGTACATATGCCTCTATTAGGTATTTTTTTTTCTATTTGTTAATATGTCCCCCTTCTTAGGAAGTAAATATTGGTTTTGGTAAAGATATTTCAAGGATGCTTCTAAGAGGGTTTATTGTTGACTCTCCATCTCAATTTTTGCAACAAATTTCTGATGGTAAAACTATAAATAATTTGTATATGACTGATATACCAATGTAAAACTGGGAGATGGCAACCAACATTTCATTCTGAGTAACTCAGCTATGCATGTTGCAATCAACAAAAGTCCAAATCAGCGTAAATAAATACTGTCATAATGTACTGAGTTTTCCATTTCAATGTGGTCAAATCTTCTAGGATAAGTTTCAAAAAATTATGTGAAACTGATAATAATGATACTATATTAAGATAGCTGGTTTTTTATTGGTTGCCAAAGGTTTGGAAATGTGCTGATGAGGGATGTTTCTGTTTGAAGTACAAGGGAGAAAGGAAAATAAGAAATGGCAAGTTTTGGGCCTTAAAGGTATATGAACCAAGATATGAGTTCTGTTTGGGGCATCAAGATGATGGTTCTAGGAGCTCTTCTGGCGAACTTAGGGTTTTTTGGGTTTGTGTTTTAAGGATTTATGTCTATATATTATATATCAAAAGGCTAAGGGTTTATTGGTTTAGGCTTTGATTTGATGGGTTTAAGAAGACAGAATAGCTGACAGCATACAGTATGATGCAGTGATCAGAAATGCTACTTACTTTAGCAGCAAAAAATAAATAAATGAATAAAAGGAGCAGCAAGAATGAATCTAGCCATCAAGATTTAATCTAGAATTAACTGATTGAACTTTCACAATCCAAAGCTATATTGATAAGCTTGGAAAACATGGCCTAGAACATAAGAGAAACACAATCCAAATAATGGATTCCAAAAGACTGAAGGACTTAATGAGATCAGAAACTTGACTGTGATAGGCATGGAGTACTGTTACTATGTATTAACTAATCACTATAATATTAGTTGCACCTTTCTTAATTCTTATCATTGCTTGTGTTTGGTTTCTTTCACTCATGTACTTGTGAGTATGCTAAATTGTGCAGAAAGCTGCTTGGATCTCAATTGATATTGTTAAGCACTTACATATTTTTCTAATGCATAGGTATGGGGCTATTGTGATGGATGATCAGTATGAGGATGGCAGCTTGGGGTACACTGTACTGCACAACAGTTCTTGTCAGCATGCTGGTCCAACCTTTATCAACTTAATGAATGCTGCTATTCTTAGGCTTGCAACACGTAATCAAAATATGACCATTCGAACACGTAACCATCCCCTCCCAATGGCGAAAAGCCAGAGATTACAGCACCATGTATGCTTCTTCTTCTCTTTTTTTTTTTTATTTTTTTGGTAGAGGAAGATCCTTGGTTTCTATGTTAATGTGTTACTTAGGCTTTATAATATAATACGCCATGCTAGATGCAAGTATCAAGATTGATCACTTCTGGTATTAATTTAAATTTCCCTATATGGTAGGGTGAACCACTGTTTTTATTAAAAATAATTATGATAAGCTTGTTTGGGCAATCTTAGTATTCTATGTGAGAAATACAGACCTTTTTGTTTTTAATTCTTGCTTATAAATTTACACAATGTCAAGGGGAAAATAAATTGTCTTTATACTTTAGCTTGTTTCATAAAATTGTAATTTCTAAACAGCAAGCAATCTAGTTGCTTTTGTTAGGTTGTTTCTGTTTCTCCTTCCAAATTACACGATTGAATGATCTGTTGAATTATGCAGGATCTTGATGCATTTTCAGCTGCAATAATTATTAGTATAGCCTTCTCATTCGTTCCTGCTTCATTTGCTGTTTCCATTGTAAAGGTATATTCTTCAACAGTACTCTGAATAGTAGTTACTTAAGATCAATCCTAAGAGACCATGTTGTTTATAGTGTATGGAAATCTGACATGAATTTTGAATTTATTTTATTTAATAATTGAAAATGAGATACAAAAGTTCTATATGAATTCTCCAGAGACCCAATAATTTGATTTAGTGTTCAATCTTTTCTTGTGTGCTTGAGAAAAAATAGTTCTTTTTGTAATTGATGTCTTCCAAATAACCTTTCTTTTCTTTGACTGTGTCCAAAATCTTCTATAGCATCAAAGTAAGCAGTGTGCTTGGTCCTAACCTGTCGAGATGCCTCAAACTATTTACCTTGACAATCAGTTTAGTATTTATTAAACAATGAAATAAATATATTTTTTCTATTTCCTTCATACTTTTGAACCAAATGTTTTTTCCTATTTCCTTCATACTTTTGAGCCATTTTCCTTTTTTTTTTTAAAGGTAGGTAGAAATTTCAAGCACAACAGTTGAAGGGAGCTTTTCATCATCTCCTTCATTTAATATATGCTGTGAAGCACATGCATGATAGGAATACCAATCTTTTTGCTATTTGCTTCTCAGTTCTCACATTTGAACCTTTTTTAATGCCCTGTACTTGTTTATCTGCATTAAATCCCGGTCTTCATTTCCAATCTAGTTTTGATTTTTGATATTGCCCTTTGTGTGTCTTGTATATTGGGCTTCTCCTTGTGCTTAAAATCACGAGGCTTTCAACTCTACTCAACCCATCAGGTGAAGGCTTGCTGCCAAGAGGTCAAATGCTTGTTGCAAAATGCAAATTTCACTTGTTTTTTCGCTGATATTTCATTCAATGCCACTTTGATGCTATTGAAGTATTTCTTGTGATTCATGACCATGCATGCCTATCATTTCCTGACTACGCACTAGTACATTATCTCTATGCACTTTTTTCTTTGCCTCTTTTCTCTGGTATCTATTCTAATCTCAATGACCTTCACTCTTCTTAAGTTTTCCTTTTTCCTTTCAATGACTTATTTCTTCTTGTCTCAAAAGACCTCCTTCTCCCCTTTGTTCCAATGCTCCTTCAATTATATCTCCAGCCATAAAAAGCTTTTGATGGTCCTGTAGATGGGAGAGTTTACTTTTTTGCTCACCAATTTATCCAACAATTGGCGTCAAAACTTGGTTTATTCTCCTATATAAGTGCCCTTGGTGGTTTGTTAATATCATATCTGTTTAGATAAGGAGACATTTGTTTCTGTTCTTGTCATTATGTGCACCTGGAGAGATATGTATTTACTTTGTGTATATTGTGACAATTTATTTTCTAAACCTTTGGAGGTACTTGCTGCAGGAACGTGAGGTTAAAGCCAAGCACCAACAACTGATTAGTGGAGTATGTTCTCCTTCAGGAAAATGAAAAATCCAATTTTAAATGTTTTGCTTATATCTGATATTTACTACTTGTACTTGATAAAATTACTTTTCTCAGGTTTCTGTGCTTTCTTATTGGGCCTCTACCTACATGTGGGACTTCATCAGTTTCTTATTTCCTTCAACTTTTGCCATAATTCTCTTCTATTTGTTTGGTATGTTACTTCATTTGCAATTACTTCTACTTTTTTTCTGTTTGCACATTTGCATGTCTATATTTAGTGTTGTACATGGAGCATGTTGAATTTGCAAATGCTTGGGTGAAGCGTACTGAGAAAATAGTTAGTGTAAATTTTTTTTTTCATCCACATGGCGAGGGATCTTAAATACACCGTCCCTGCAAATAAACTATATCTCATATTGGTAAATATTACATTTTTGAACTTCATATGTACATTATCCTAATAATAGATATGACAATGTTTGGAAAAGGAAATTACATAGCTTGTGTTTGGTTCAGAAGATCTTGGATTCTTGGTGGTAGTCTTTACTCCTGAGACAACAGACCCTTGTTTGGTTTGATTAGGAATTTCATTTGTTGTGATCATCTCATGTTTCTTAGGCATAAATACCCTTATTCACTTAGCCTTGCATTCCTTCTCATGAGTATAGGTATCCAAGATGCTTGGTTGATGTAATGTGTTTCGTTGTAATCTGAAAATTGGGCAAAAAATGCTCATCATGCAAAAAGCTACCATGAATTCTATTTATAAAACCACATGACTTTTAAAAATTATCAAGGAACCTGTTCCTTATATTGTGGACTTAAATATAATACAGGGCACTAATTTATTGCCAATTAATTTTATGTTGGATGTTAACATAGTATGAATCAGAATCCAGTCTTGTTCTGTCAAGCCTGTTTGTTGTTAGCCCACCTGAAAAGGCCCATAGTTCATACTGGCCTGCGCTTGCGGGGTTGGGTTAGGTGGGAAAATACAACAGTGAAGAATTAAGGAGAAACTGTGGACTTAAATATAATATGGATGGGCCACTCCACCCATTGTTAATTGTCTTAGGGTGGACGCTAACACCAAAGAACATATTTGCAGAAATAGGATGTCTGAAGGCCATTTTGCTACCTTAACCAACCATGGTGCCTTTTTTCATTAAGTGCTCATTGTTCATATGATTATTAACCAGTAAAGAGGAATTTTTACATTTGATAGAGAAGACAAAGAAGCTATGCTACCAGAGGTAACCTCCATGGTTGTCTGTTAATGTAGATTAATAATAAAAACTATTTACTTGCATTTAAGCAGTAATCTTTAATATTTTGTTTATGGTATGGATTAAATATTCCTTAGCTAGCTGCCCTAAACATTATCTTGTTCTTTGTAGATTGTTTGATATCATAATTTTACATTAGCAATTTTTCTTTTGAATCTATTTTTTCCAAATTTCTAGAGGTTTTAGGCAAAACACCCGTCTCTAAATAAATTATCATTCTTCTTTTTTGCTCCCATCTCAGATCAACACTTTATCTTCCAGCATTATCATGTGTAATACACTTCTTTATTTTCCTTGTTCAGTTATACTGAAGTGTATACTTATGAGTATGATAATCTGAATCCACAGGTCTTGATCAATTTATTGGAAGAGACTGTTTCTTGCCCACAATCCTTATTTTTCTGGGGTATGGGCTGGCAATTGCATCATCAACATATTGCCTTACGTTTTTCTTCTCTGACCACACGTTGGCTCAGGTAACTGAGCATCCTTATTTCATTCTTTAATCCTGACTGTCTAAAACATGAAGCTTATATATTTTTTTATTTTCTATGGATATTATGTGTTTACTCTACATACAGAATGTGGTTCTCTTGGTCCACTTTTTTACTGGGCTCATTCTCATGGTTATCTCGTTTATTATGGGGCTTATAGAGACTACTGCCAGCGTTAACTCCATTCTTAAGGTTGGTTTCTATTTTGTTACAGTATTTATTATGAACTCAATTAATTAGAGTTGGCATTACTTATTATGGCCAAAGACATAAAATGCTTTCTTATTTTTCTTTCCTGTTTTTCTGTACCAAATTCTTAGCCATGACTACATTTTCTAACTGGAAAGCGTACTTTCAATTGGATTTATGGTTACTTTTTAGTTTATTAGTTTTCTAGTTAGTTATTTAGAGATTTATGATTGTTGACAGAAAGCAAAATCTTCTGAGATCCATAACACTGACCTGACTAAATATTATGTATGTCTTCCAGAATTTCTTCAGAATATCACCAGGGTTTTGCTTCGCTGATGGGCTCGCTTCATTGGCTCTTCTACGACAAGGAATGAAAGATAAAACTAGTCATGCAACATTTGACTGGAATGTTGCTGGTGCTTCCATATGTTATCTTGGAGTTGAGGTAAACATCTTTTCTCATGCCTTATGCTTGAAACTTCTCATTCTATCATGGTCATTATGACACAAACTAATTGACTAGTGAAATTCTCAGTGGATAAGAGCCTCTACTCTTAATTTTTGTTCCCTTTAAAATTTAATAAAAGAGTAAAAGACATGAATCTTAACTGGCACGGAGTGGCTGCCTTTATCAATACATTATGCAGTGAAAAACTGTGACATTGTGGACACCTTATCATCTCCATTTGACAAAATTACACCTATAATTTGACAATGGGCTTGTTTGAATCTGATTTGTTTCTTAACCTGCAGAGCATTTGTTACTTCCTTCTGACTCTTGGACTGGAAGTCTTTCCTACCTGCAAATTGACTCCAGTTACAGTTAAGGAATGGTGGAGACGGATTAGTAATCTTTGGGTTGACACCTCACTTGTAGAACCTCTGCTCAAATCTTCATCAGAGACTGCTACTGACGATGAAGATATAGATGTCCAAAGTGAAAGAAACAGGGTACTTTCAGGTTCCATTGGTAATGCCATTCTCTACTTGCGCAATCTTCGGAAGGTATCTCCATGACTTTTGTACTTGATTTTAGTGTTGGCACTGTTGATCAATTTGCTATCTTTTATTGCTTTATATTAAGAGATATCACAAATCTCAGGTTTATCCTGGAGGAAAAGATCACTGCACAAAGGTAGCTGTAGATTCATTAACTTTCTCTGTTCAAGCGGGAGAATGTTTTGGCTTTTTGGGAACAAATGGAGCTGGGAAGACTACCACGTTGTCAATGCTATGTGGTATGAGATATTTCTTTTATTTACCATTTATATGATTCACTTTGCAGTTTGCAGATCATGGTGTATGAGATAATTTTTCAGAAAGACATGATATTGAGTCTGTATATTGTTTTTGCATTTAGAATTTTATGCAGTGAATATTTCTGATTCCCAACAGGCACGTATGTTTAATTTTTTGGATGGATCCAGTTCTAAGTAGTGACTCTGCTTTTAGATATTGAATTTATTATAATCTTTTTCTCAAATGATATTTGGTTATTCCAGATTATCTATTTGATTGGCCTTTATTAATCATCCAATTTAAAACCAATTGCAATACGGTAGGAACATATCTAAAGATGTTGGCTATTGCCATTTCATTATCACAGATATTGTGTAATTAGAGCTGTACTCCAGTATAAAGTTCCTAAAATTGTATAGCCTAGTTCTATAAAAAGATATATAGCCTAGGAGTGGAATGTCTGCAATCACTAACATGTTTCATTTGAATCAGTTAATATGGTTTGTGAAAGATTTCTCTCATTGTTTTAAACTGGCATCTTTTTTCGCATAGGAGAAGAGACTCCAACTGAAGGAACTGCTTTCATTTTTGGCAAAGATATATCTTCAAATCCCAAGGCTGCCCGTCATCATGTATGTCAAGATTTTTTTTTTACCCTTAACTTTTTCTGATTGATTCTAACCGTTGTATGGAAATCTTACTTTGATCTATTTAATCATGAATGACTTGCAGATTGGGTACTGTCCACAATTTGATGCCCTACTGGAACATCTTACTGTCCAAGAGCATCTTGAGCTTTATGCCAGGATAAAAGGAGTTGCAGATTACAGAATTAATGATGTATGTATATCTACAAAAGTGATTAGTCTATCTATTTTAATAGTTATGTATATCACTAGACTGGGATTTTTTCAGAATTTGGTCTGATGATGGATTCTGCATACAGCAGTGAATTGTACCTTTTCCTCAACTGATATAAGTTAAATTGAAATTAAGATTTCTTTGAATCATGGAGCAGTATTTTTTTAAGATTATTATTCTGCATGCTGATAGCTGTAATGATACTTGCAGGTTGTTAAGGAAAAGCTGGTGGAGTTTGACTTGTTGAAGCATGCTGACAAACCTTCATATACCCTTAGTGGAGGGAATAAGCGCAAACTTTCTGTTGCAATTGCAATGATTGGAGATCCTCCAATTGTTATTCTTGACGAGCCATCCACAGGTATATAGTTTTATGAAATTTCTCTTCCTAAAAATTCTTGCCAGTATGGTTTAGCAAATAATGGCTGCCCTACTATGGTCAAATCTCTTTAATCTGATTATTCTTCTTTTAACGGCAAGCCTCTATCTTGATTTATGCTCCATTTGGTTCTGGGAAAATGGTTTCCTTGAAGTTATGGTTACTCATAAATGTAAACACTTCTAAAAATGGGGAATTTGTTTCCACACTTTTTCCTTAAAACTTTCCTTTCACTGAAAATAATGTAAACATATTCATGAGTCATGTTACCAATAATTTTCAAAAAGTTATTTTTCATGAACCAAACAGACTATTAGATATAGAATCTTATGCTTTAGCTTAAAGATACTGTAAGAGCAATGTCTTGTGAGAAACTTTTAGCCTTTCTGAAGTTTGTTTCCCTTTTTCATAATGGTTATGTTGGTTTACCAGGCCTAAAAATTGGAAGAAATCCCTACTCACACCCTCCACTTTTCCTTCCAAAGAAACCCAAGATATTTCCTTTTTGCTCATTTCCCTTGATTTACTATACTCCTCCACCCTAGAAGAGGGAGAAGAGCAGGCATCACTTAAGATCATGCTCTTTTAATTTTTTTTGGTTTACAATATGTAATGGCCTCAAATTTGATCTGATTAGATATATATACATGCATATAGATCCATTACTTACCAAGGAAAAATACTAATTATGATTTATTCCTGGTGCGTGCTGTTTGTTCAAGGGCACTCTATAATTGAAGTTTAGCTTTTATTCACTTTTTTGGGCCAAGGTTATCTTGTATTGTTCCTTGTTTCTTGGCAGCTACTAATTAGTTTGTTTTCATTTTAGGCATGGATCCAATAGCCAAGAGGTTTATGTGGGAGGTGATATCTCGCTTATCAACCAGACAAGGAAAAACAGCTGTTATCCTCACTACCCACAGTATGAATGAGGCTCAAGCACTTTGCACTAGGATTGGAATAATGGTATGGTCTTGGTCTTTGAACCCAGAATACTTGAGTGATGTTTTAGCATCCCCAAATATTAGTAATTTAGTACTGCTGTTTTTACTCTTTAGGTTGGAGGCCGGCTAAGATGCATTGGGAGTCCTCAGCACTTGAAAACGCGGTTTGGAAATCATCTTGAGCTGGAGGTATGTCATGAAACATGTACAATTTAAATCAAATACTGATGATTAAAAAGGCATATGAATCTGGAATTTGAGTCAAATACCTAATTTTCCTGTAAACTGCAATCAGATCAAACCTACTGAAGTGAGTTCTGTCGATATGGATAACCTTTGCCGAGTCATCCGAGAAAGGCTTTTTGACCTTCCTTCCCATCCAAGAAGTTTGCTTGATGACCTTGAGGTTTGTATTGGGGGCATTGACTCCATCATACCAGTGGAAGCATCAATAGCAGAGATTAGCATGTCAAGAGAGATGATAATCAGTGTTGGCTGCTGGCTTGGGAATGAAGAAAGAGTAAAGACTCTTACATCTTCAAGGCCACTTTCAGACGGACATTTTGGTGAACAGTTGGCAGAGCAGTTAATGCGAGATGGTATAATTGATCCTTGCATATGCTGATCTCTTATCCTCTGTTTCATATCATCTAAATTTGCTTGTACTAGAGTTTTCAACTTAGATTTGAATTTCTGTAGGTGGCATACCGTTGCAAGTATTTTCTGAATGGTGGTTGGCAAGAGAAAAGTTTTCTGCAATTGATTCATTTATCTCATCCTCGTTTCCTGGTACAACATTCCATGGGTTTAATGGATTGAGTGTTAAATATCAGGTAAAATCATCTCTTAGTACCATTTAAGAACACATGCCTGGATTTTAACTAGGAAAAATCTGCTTTTGAATCAGTGCAGCTTTGTGCTGCTTATGACTGCATTTTCTTCTGCAATCAAGATTTGGATTAGATTCCATATCGAAATGGTAACTGATCAAGATATTTTGGTGCAGTTGCCATATAGGGAGGGCCTCTCACTTGCAGCTATTTTTGGACGCATTGAGGGAAACAGGTAAAATACAATAACTTCTGAACTTAGCCTCTTACTTTTACCTTTCGATTTCTTTCTAAGGTTATTAAGCTTACGGTATTTGCAAAAATTCTGTTTCAGAAATAAACTTGGTATAGCTGAATACAGTATTAGTCAGTCAACTTTGGAAACCATATTCAACCATTTTGCTGCGAACCCGTAACATATCATAAGCCTTTTACTTGTAATGTTATGACCCTTATGTTTTTATAGGAGGGGTCATCATTATACATAGCCTTTCAAACTGACCATTTGTATATATCCAAACCAGTAGAAGCTAGAGCAGATTGAAAATGTAATTTCTGCATGCCTTTGTCACAAGATCCTGACTTTCCCTCTCTGGGAATTATAAATGCAAAGTTCTTTTGGATGTAAGAAATGCAACCCTTTTATTACAATTGGTTTGTTTTGGCCACCAACTTCGATATCTCCGAATATGTCCATCAGATTCAGTTGGACACATTGAACAATCTATAAATGGTTGAAAATTCTGGGGAATTACTGAATTTTCAACCCATTGAAGGGCTTTTTGTAGTCAGAGGGTAACTGTTTTGATTCATCATCCATCACATTTTCAACATTACGTAGTACTCCTTTCTGTCCTAAAATGATGTTTTTTGAATGAATTTTGTCTCAATTAGATCTAAGTTCATTCAAGAAAATAATAATTATTTTGAAATAGAGGAAGCTGTATGCATGAAGTTATATTTCTAAAGCTGCTTAAACGTTTCATTTTAATTTATGGAGTTATCTATTTTGCAATCCAAACTGTAAAATAAGAATCATTTAATAGGAAGACAGCCTCCTATATTGAGGGGCTCGTCTCCTATCTAGTAGTTTCCGACTACACAATACTTGTTTTGTAATCTACGTATTCATCAACATCATCATTATTTTAACATTAATGGTATTTTTGCTTTTATTTGCAACACTGAGACAGTAAAAAGCTTCCACTTTCACTGATCTCACCTATCTTCCTCTTCCTCTCCCTGTCCTTCTCTCCTTCAACTTCCAACCTAACTCCAAACAGCTTCGGCCTCTCATCTTCCTCTTCCCTTTTATATTGCAAATACCTCCCTACCACCTCCTTCAGCTCTTCAAATTTCCTTTTCATCCTTGTCAGCTCCGAGCTGAGAAATCCATTTTCCTGCTTCAGACGCTTGTTCTCGTCCATGAGGCTGTTGTATTCTGAAGACGACGAGGTTGACGAAGATCTTTGTTCTTCATCGGATTCCTGAGCAGTGACTTGTACTGTTCCTGCAACTGGTTTCTGTTGCTTGTTGGCCCATGCTCTCCTCCTGCGAATGTTGCACAGCAGCTCTTTTTCTCCCTTCCGAAACATTCCGTTGCAGAACTCCCACCTGCCAGTTGCAACTTTCCGAAATCCCTATATATATTCATCACAACACATCAATATTGTATATAAACTTCCAAGCATGAAAATGAAAATATACACAAACTGGTACGGAAGATAATTCTCCTTTAATTGTAATCCATAAAATCTTGCTCTATTTGTCTCAAAATTTGAATGTGACATTTTGGATTGTAGAACTTAATTCTCATTCACATTCTCAAATGGTTGGTCATCTGTAAATAGTTCATGAAGTAATTTACTAGAAAGAAAATATATTTCTTAAGTCGGATATACATGCCACGCCAAATCCAATGAGAATGAGTCATGTTCTTTTCCTATATTTAAATTTCTTTGAATTTAATGGTGTGAAAAAAATAAACGCTATGGACCATTGAATTGATGACTTAGCCTTCTTATACCACATAAAATTCTAATGGTAATATACAAAGATTGGTCAAAAAATTGATATAGAACTAAATTAGGTGAAACAATTGTAGAATGCCTTTGATGCACATTGGAGAGAAATTTGACAAATTGTAGGGTCATCATCAAATGTTAAATATATTTTTTCTTTTTTTACAAAAAAACTAAGGTTGTGTTGGGGATTAGTTTTGACCTAACATACTACTAAAATGTTAAAATATTATAATTAAATGATTTAATTATAAAAAAAGCCAAACACCACTCATAAGTAATTAACTATCAAAATATTAACATAATTTTTGTGATATCACAGCACACCGCACTACAACCTAAGTTAGATAAGATAAGAATAGTTTCTTACTCTTACCAACCTAAAAAAGATTCATAATGTTTATAATTGACAACCAAAACCAACCTTACCAAAATTGAATAACCATACATATCTTCTTCTATTAATTAATTTTCATAAATGTTCAAAAAAATTTAATTAATTTTCATACTTTAGGAAGATAAAAAAAAAAAAAAAAAGACACATACAAAGTGGTGTGGACAAAAGATAAATCTCCTTTAATGGTAATCTATAAAATCTTGCTCTATCCATCTCAAAATTTGAATAAAACATTTTGGATTGAGAAACTTAATTCTCATTCTCAAATGGTTGATCATCTATAAATAGTTTATTAAGTAATTAACTAGAAAGAAAATATAATTCTTAAGTCGATTATGCCTACCACCCCAAATCCAATGAGAATGAGTCGTGTTCTTTTCATACATTTAATTTTCTATGAAATTAATGGTGTAAAAAAGTAAAAGCTATGGACCATTGAATTATGACTTAACCTTCTTTAGCCACATAAATTTTAATGGTAATATACGAAAGATTGGTCAAAAAATTGATATATAACTAAATTAGGTGAAACAATTGTAGAATGCCTTTAAAGCACATTGGAGAGAAATTTGACAAATTGTAGGGTCACCATCAAATGTTAATTCTTTTTTTTCTTTTTTTCAAACAAAGGTAGTGTTAGGGATTAGTTTTCACATAACGTACTACTAAAATATTAAAATATTATAATTAAATGATTTAATTAATATTTTATGTATTTTAATAATAATGAAAAAGCCAAACACTACTTATAAGTAATTAATTATCAAAATATCAACATAATTTTTGTGATATCACAGCACACAGCACCATACACTACCTACTAATTTTAAATACAACCTAAGTTAGATAAGATAACAATAGTTTCTCTTGCCAACCTACAAAAGATTCAAAATCTTTAGGGTGGTGCTACAGGGATAATATTTTTATTTCATTTTTTTATACAACTTTCACATGTTATTAAATAAATGGATGCATTCAATAACATGAGTCTCACTTGAATTAAAAGAACTAATTATTTTAATGATACATTAAATTGTATAAAAAAGTGAGACAAAAAGGTTGTACAAAAAACATTTTTTAAATCTTTATAATTGACAATCAAAGTCAACCCTACCAAAATTGAATAATAACATATCTTTTTATATTAATTAAGTTTAATAAATGTTTAAAAAAAATTAATTAATTTTCATACTTTAGGAAAAAAAAAAAAAAACAAAACAAAACAAAAAAACACGTACATAGGTATTGAGCTGCCGGACAAAGCTGGAAAAGTTGCTGTGCTTGAAGAGAGTAGGGAGGAGGTCACGTGCAAACTCCGCCGGCTGCCACACCACGAACCCCGTCCCGTCCCCGTTCCACGATATCACATTGTCAGTGGCCGGATCCTCCACGAGCATATAAGTTTTCATTAAGAACGGTGGGGGAGTTGATTTTCTAACATATCCAGATAAACCCTTGTCTCGGGTGATTGACTCCATTGGCAAAATTTAAGAAGCTGAAGAAGTCTTGATGAGTGAGGCACGTATATATGCTGAAGGGAATTAGTTATGGAAGGAAAGGGAGGAGAAAAGGAAGGGTATTAAGGATGAGAGGAGAAGAGAAGAAGTGCAGTTAAGAACTCCCAACCCCAACAATAGAAACCCAACACGATTTCTGAGTTCATGAGAAGAGCAAGAGCTTCTTTCTCTTTAGAACTCTCTTCTTGTTTTCCTTCCAAAAGAAATGGTTGAAACGCGTGTACTAAGACTAACTCTACTTATAACGTGGAGAATTATCATGGAAATGCCCATTCTTGCACCAATTTTCTACTCTTTGTATATACAATTGTAAATTGAAGACTGTTGATGTAATCTCTTTCTCCACCGTGAGATATGCTGCACAAGTTTCTTATTTTGACTAGTCAACAAACAGCGGATTTCAATTTTACTAGGATTTACGGTTTGGTAATATTCTGAGTTAATTTACGCATGATTTTTCTCTATGAATGTTAATTTACACATGATAAATTGAGTTCATATCTTTCATTTAGTAAAGGCCTATGAAGAATTTCCTTATTAGAATGTCACCTCAACGGCTCAACCTAGCTAACCAGCACATAAATGTTAGTCTTATTGACTTTTGATTTCATTCATCATTGTCAATCTCCTTGACAATTCAATTGAAACCCTTACTGGAATGTATCTAGAATTTATTAATCAGAGTTCCTAATTGAAAACAACTTAGCAAGAACATTTACACCGTTTTTTTACCTAAATTTAATTATCTTTCTTGTTGACACTTGAAGAATGACTAATAGTAATGTGACGGTCAAGATTCAAATCCTATATTAATGGTTCAATTGCTTAGAGAGAATAATGGAAGTAATCTCGGCTAAACAAACAAAAACGGAAAAAGTTTGGACACTTAACGTATATAAATCTTACCTAAATTATTTATAGTTAATTTTCAAATGTAACTAGTTTGATATATTATTAAATATAAATGATCTAAATAGTGCAATAATAATTTTTTTTCAATAAGAAGTAAGAGGTACTAGATTCATGTTGTAGGCATATGAGTGTATAAGAATGGAAGAGAATTGTTTCTTTTTGTCAACCCAAAATCATATATGTAACATAATTATTTCAACAACATATATTTGAAAATCAGCTCTAAAAATTTATTGCTAAGGGATGTCTCACTTGTTAAGGGTTTAAATCTTAATGTTTGAATTTTATAATGGGTAGAGAGGAGTTAGAAAAGGAGATAGTCATCCTTTATTGTGCAATTCTTCATCAAACATACTAAAAAAAATATCAACAGAAGCTTAATTAAGTTAGTATCCATTAACTTAAAAATCTTAATTTAGAGTCAAAATAAAAAATTTAAATTTCTATGATGTTAATTAATTAACCCTCCAATTAATGTGCTAAAAAAAACATCCTAGAAAAAGTTGCTAGCAATTATGCATCTTGACTGAAAAAATGCTTGTCTAGTTCCATTAGTTGTGCTGATACTTTCCACATTCTTTTTGGTAATCTAGTTAACGTGCAAATTCTTCTGTCCAATCCAATATACTCTCATTGTTGATTTTCATTTCTTCTTCTTCTTTCCATCATGAGCTCATACTTTTAATTGTTTTTCAAGTTTTGAAAAGTGACCTTTTAGACTTTCTTGCTATTTCTTCCAAGTCTTTGCTTTACTCGCTTTGGAGGAGAGTGCCATGCTCTCCAATCGAACATTGAAGACCATTTAATGGGTTGGAAATTTGGGGTTCGTTGTGAATTTTGCTCCCCTTCTTCTCCAAATTTCAATTTTTTAAAATGGGAAAGATTAGAATTTTTAGTTTTAACATTGCTAATATGTATTTGACCAAATTAGTCTTATACAAAGAGGGAAAATTGAATCTAGATTTTGAAGCCGGAAAAGGTGGACCACCATTT